CAAATGCTAATTCGATGATGCCGGCTGGCACACTGATTCACTATGAATGTAGGCCGCACCCCCTAGCGGCAGAAGCTCGTACTACATCCGGTTCGCCCGCTATTGACAGTCTTGAAACTTTCCGATAGCACCTCGTATTATGGATTCTGAACTGTACGTCTGCATGAGTATTATCGGCTACGAGCAGGAGTCTACAACTCGCCAAGGGGTTCGCGGGGAAATGCTGTGTAAGTACGATGGTAGAGGACTGAGAAGTCTGCTGCTCCAGATCTGATAATTTACACAGTGGGACAGAGACCAATAGATGCAGGCCACTAACGTCACATCTCAAACCTCAGCTGATACTTTCAAGGCCTTCCTTTCGGAATATCCACCAACGTACGCTCATTGTCCTTACTCTGTTTCCACCGTAAAGGAGCGGGGTTGAGCATTTAAAACTGTGCGTCTGGAAGGAAGAACAGTTCAGTCTGAAATCTGGAAGGAGCTTGGTCTCAGCAAATATTAGAAGTCTTTAAAATTTCCAAGCCCAGGGAACACTTGAGTATTTTTTACCTCAGTTATCATCTCTTGCTGGAGAAGCAGTACGTATATTGTGGTGTATTTTTACACAAAACTCTGATAGTTTTTAATGTATTGTAAAAACTTTTTTGTTGATTTCATAGTGTAAGGTGTTAGTAAAATTGCAGTTACACAGCAGAAAAAGTTGCACCATATTAAAGTTTAATCTATAAGTTACATGACGTGGATTCTGAAGCAAACAGTGATTTTCTCTTGTGGAAAGAAAGGCAAGCAGAACACAAAAAGTTAGTTTCTCTCAAGAAATTTGGCTCAAAGGCAGACGATTTTTATAGAATTAGTTCGTTTCTTGTAAGCATTCTTAACCTTCTAATTCCTGAAATGAGTTACTTAGATAGACTTAACTGCATTGTGAGTAGACGATATCTCAGGTCACTTAAAACTGAGCAGTCACGACCATTGTCGTTAAAACGGAATAAAATGCTGATCTTGTGTACGGTTCTTTAACAAGAAAACCAGAAATGGAAATAAACCGTGTGACAAGTTCGATTCATAGCCTTACTCAGTATTTATTGGAGACTGGCAATGAAGGCAAGTCATGTTGTTCATATATGGCGACTTCAACTCAGAGTGAATGGAATGATGTACTTGATTGCTATGACTGTAATGCGACGAACTCATTTAAGTGCACGAAGTTAAACGACACAAGATCAACAGTTCAGTCAACATATTTCTGCTTGAGGGTTATAAACATGGCTACTGCATTATTTTGGACATTGCCTATCGCCAGCTTATTAACAAAACGTTATACAGAAGACCGTAATTATTAGTGTCAGTGAAGGTCATGCTGAAGGCTTCTATTCCACTGAATCTCTAAATAGGACTACTCTAGTCTCCCTGTCTTGTAATGATATTTGAAATTTGTATGAGATGCTTTATTTCTCGCTGAATACATTTGATCTGTCATTAGTCGATGATAGAGACAACTGCGATGTAGCGGTTCCACCAGAGAAAGACGAAAACAAATACTGTTCCCGAAACGTCGTGTTTAAAAAAGTCTAAGACAATGAAAAATACCGAAAATAAGAAGACAGGAATTGTGTAATCCAATATATATGTGTATTCACACGCTTTTTATGAAAATTTAATTTTAAATAATCCATCCCTCGCAAATGCAATTGTATTTTTTGAACCTAACCTGTACGCAACCAGTCCCAAGTTAATCAACCTAACATAACAAAACCTAACGTGCCATAATCTCACACAAACTACCGGTTTTGTATTTGAATTATGCGGACAGACAGATACAGCCAGCAATCATTGATTTTTCGGGTACTCACGGCGACGAGAATAAATATGGCAGTCTTTGTGGTGTTGAGAGATGTAGTCTGGTGCCCTAAATACATACGCAGCAAGCGCCTCTGAAACATCAGTAAATTTCTACCAGGTTATACATTCAATATTAAAAAAGTAAATTGTCTCGAGTTTGGAGTAGGTTTAACTGGCTCAGGTAAATGCAATTGGCGGCTCCTTAGAACACTCTAATGAAACTTTAGTTCCATAATAGTAAGACTATATTGATCAACTAAGCAACTTCGACGTTTAAAGGAAGACATAATAGCAATTCCCTTTGTTAAATGTCTGAATTTTAGCATGTGTCCAATAGACAACAACAACAATGCAGCTGCAACTTTCGTCTGTGTGATAAATGTTTTTCTTTATGCATTCCTATTAAACTAGTCCTTTCAGATGATTTATACTATAGACTTTATGATGTATATGTTATTGAAAGGGATGTGGTTTGATGGCGAGGATATAAAATTTATATCCGAACGGTTGCTTAATTTGCTCTACTGTTGAGTGACGCGTCTCTGATCAGATTTGCTCTAGTCTTGTTAGCGGGTTGTGGCTACCTCTTTTCATACATCACTTACATCTGGTTTATTTAACGACGCTGACGGCAACTCGGTGTATTTGGCGTCAAATGATCGAATGACTAATGAAAAATGAAGTGTATAGGTGATCTAATTGAAGTACTATCCAAGCATTTACCTGGAGGGACTGAGAAATAACATGAAAAATTCGGGATTGCTGGTCTCCTGGTCGAGAATTTATTCGTGTACCTCCAGAATACCAAGTACAAATAACTGAGCACATACATATGTTTGGATAGTACTTTTTATCAAGATGTTCCTGGCCTTCTACAAGAATTTTTTGAATTTTATATTTGTCATTTAAAAATGGCATGCCTATATTGAGTTTGCTTCAATGCTTTTTTTGTGTCAAAATTCTTTTCCACAGCTCTACAGTGTATGTCGTGCTGATAGAGTTTATGTAACCAACTCATACCGAAGGGACAATTAAACTGCTGCTTTGACAGTTGAAGGTAGCAAGTATTTGGTATTCAGCAAAAAATGTTTCATGGAATTGCGTGTTGATTACATAGATATCATTGACGGTTTCAGTTCTTCTTATTGGAACGTTTAGTTTCAACCAATCCAAAAGTTTGTATAACTAGGATTTAGCTTATTTTAATTATTTTAGGAAGTACGTTTGATAGTCAAACCTTGTAATTTCTTGCACAGTTGCTTGAGGACATCTTTCTAGTGTTTATACACATATAATTATTCTGATAATAAGAGCAAATTGTTTGACCTTGGTTTACTTTATTTATTTTTGCATGGTCTTGCCACAATATATGTCGTCACAAAATTGCATGCCTTATGATGACTGAAGCACTTAACACCCCTTTCCTACGAAGCGAGTTCTAAGGTGTCTCTACTCGCCTGCGCTCCGCTGTAAAGGTTTCAATGTTGTACGATTCTGCTGCGACCATGAAGAACGGGATTTGATGACGGATACAGAAATTCTGTCGAAAATTGTATCGTCCAGCCCAATCGTTACTATTCCCATTTTGTTATTGATTTATTATGTTCATCAATCGCTCTAAACCAGATTTTATTATATCTTTCACAAGATACTCTGAAGGGTATACGCAATTCTGTATGATGTTTTGCATACATATTACTTGTTTTATCTTTATTCGGAACCCTCTGCTTATGCAACTAATGTTGCACGCTTAATGCTGTTGTAGTTAGAGCCACTGATTAGTCCAACTGGCGGGGCGAGGGGCACCATCCGGCCCGCGAAATTATTTGTTAATTTATCACCAGTTAGTACAAACCCATTATTTACGAAGTTGATATTCCGTCACTGGTAAAAGAACATTCAGTTCAGTGCTCTCAGTAAAGACATTGACTTTAAAAGCATAAGACGTAAGTTCTACTAGCACAAATTGTTATTGTATCAGATACAAGCTGTGAGAGTAGCGGGGTTCAAATAATTTGTGAAAGTTTTTCAGGTAAAAATTTTGAGGATTACAAGATGTCGCAGCAGAAAATTGAAAATGACATACAACTGGAGTAGTTTGTGCACATTTAAATAAAATTTATATTTCAGCATTTGCAATGGTAATTTGTCATTACTGAATAAGTACAGTAGATTCTGGTTCATTGGGCCATTGATTAATCGGGGCAGCCGTTTATTTCGGACAAATCTTAAGGAACAATAACAAACCGGAATATGTTTCGCTTATTTGTGGATACCATGCCATTTAATCGACACACTGAGTGCTAGGTGGTACGCTTGTGGCGTTTGTCGTGGAGGAGTCAGCGAGTCATCGCTGATTCACTCAGTAACGAATACGTGTGTGTTCGGACAGTGTATCAATTCTGCTTGCGAGCAATAAGCAGCAAGAACATTCAAAAATGCTTAGCTCACTGTGATTTTAAGCATTCAGGCTTAGAGATAACAGATACGACCGATAGCAACATTTACGCTATTTTGGAAGTGGAACACGTCAGAAACTACAAAGAGTTTGCATGCATTGACAATATTCTTCAATGATACGTACAACAAAAATTAAGGTTATAGAAACGTAATTGTTGACAAAATTGCAGCAAAGTATCAAAAGATATCAGAAGACCAGGAAAGTGATGAGGACGACGCACCTGAACTTGAGCGTGTGACTAACCTGGATGCCAGGAAATTTGTAGCGAGATTACGACGGTACTTCATGCAGGACGGCAATGAAGGCAGTCCTATAATTCCACTAGGTACCTGCGCTGATTTTGTTCCTTTGCAGTCAATAAGAAGAATACGGCAAGGTACACTCCATACATTCCTCCAACATAATTAACTGTTAAGAATTACATGCATGCGTGTTTGATACATACCTTAAATTGAAATGGATTTTAGCGTAAATACATATTTGTCTCTGATCCGTACCATTTGTCTCAGAATTCATATATAGTATTTTTGTTTCTCAATAAATAATCGCAATAAACGGGAGTTTGTCTTCTGTTTTAAACCTTCGCATAATTCGGGTAGCCGCTTAATTGGGCCAAAGTGTTCTCGTCCCGATGTGTCCCAATTAACTGGAATTCACTGTATTATTAAACATAACGACAATGCAAAAATAGTGAGATTGGGAGTTTATTTGCCCTTGGGTCCAACAGGAAAACTATTCAGGCCTGAGCGAGGATAAAGTTTGGACTTTCCTGGAGTAGTAAATCTTTTTCGGTACTTAAAGACTTATAAATTTCCTCCTTCGGACTTATTTATTGCTAAATTAGAATTAATAAAATTTTGAGTAATGTTTCTATCTGTATAACAAATTTCCCCTGTACCATAACCTACTGATGGGAAACTAGTCTCATCCAAAGCAACTTTGGAAATGTATGTTTAAATTCGAGAGAATTGATATCTTAACGCTTGATAGAGATAGGACTCTTTTAACCGGACGCCCTAAAAATTATAGTCTTTTATAAACCTTTTCAATGAGTCCGTAGTAATTTACGGCTTGGGTATCTCTTATTAGATATGTTTGATTTATCTTGAGCTTTCATTTCACACTCGGATGTCTGAACGGCTTCGACCACCACAGTATGTCCGGCTTGTTGGTAAAGTCAGTTTTTATGCGTTCTTTTACACGAAGTGCATAGCGACAACGCATTACGAGCAGGTCGCGTCTGTCCGTCCATCCGCTCATTTATCTAGTCAATTCAATTAGAGAACCACAGGACGAAACTGGATGAAATTTCATGTTTAGGTTGTGCCATTCTGCGTTACCCGAATGTCGTACTTTTGAATAACCTAAGAGCAGTGGTATCAAAATGGCGGATGAGGAAAATAGAGAAGTAGAAATCGAGGTCTTGCGATCTGGTGACAACAGTGGCAGTTTGTTAATAACAGTTACCATGGTTACCTTTGCCAACTTAGTTTATGCGTTCTTGGATGTTTACCGAGGTTAATATGGCGATCGTGTTTCATAATGATATAAGTGAAAATCAGCCAGTTTTCATGAATTTTAAAATTTTTAAGATTATTTTTGTTGGTACAGTTAGTTTGTATCAGATTAGGACACGTTAATTTTGGTTAGGTTAGGTTAGGTTTAGGCAGGTCCGTTAGTAAGAGTTGTAACATGTTATAATAACAAAGTTCAGGTTAGGATAGATGTTTTAATACTAATTTTAAAGTTTGGAATTTTAAATATTTTAATTAGAATATCTGTAATTCTGGATTTTGAAATTTCGAAAAATTATGATAATTTTAATATTGCGGGTGTTTAAAAATTTTGAAAATTCGGAATTAGAAATGTTTAAATTTCGAAAACTTTACAAGCTTCTGTCATAATGTATTTTCCCGAAATATTTGTGCCTTCATTCAATTTTACATGTAACTCCATTTTCCATCGTATGCCTTTAATTTGTGGAGGAAGCAGTTGTAATCCGCACTTTTATGATAATAGTTCTGTGTTCGCTCTTACTTTGAGCTTATAAATTTGTTTTACCTTGTTCACACGTAATGCTTCCTCGAAACTCAATGACTATAGACTATCTACTACTCACGTAATTTGTTTCCGGCTATTTCATTTGCAGAAGTCTGGAGCTCTTAATCGCCTTATCTTGTGTTGTCTGGTGATCCGTGGGATAAGTTTGGTGGTCGATGAAATTCAATGCCGTCTTAATTATTAGAGCAAATGTAATACATTTTAATAACTCTTCCGGAGCTTTTAATTTCAAGTACCTAAATTTAAAATCTTTTAAAGTTGAAGATAAATCCTTCTTAGAACCGATTTACCAAACACCAATCTGAAACTACCAATACAGACACATTCTTTTATTGTGTTGTTACTTTTGTTATTTTACAAGGTGACTATAATCATATTTATTTCTACCTCAGAAATGCATGTGGCGATGATCCACAAGTAATACTTTCCAATTCACAATGACTACGTACTCTACGTTGCTTAAGCAATTTGAAGCGTTCATGGCTTTGAACAACAGACTGTCCAATATACACAATGTTGGAAATATTTATCGCCTTTCTTGTGGTAGTTCTTGTCTCATGAAGTATGGTTCGGGGATAATATTTTTTAGTGTCCTGCTAATAACTTAGCTCAATGAAATGAAATTAATTTCAAGAATCAGTATTCTGTACGTTTATATTACACCATTTCAATCTGATACTGACCCAAAAAGTTTTGACATTTTTAACTTCAATGAAACTGGGCAATAATTAAACCGAAGCAAAGGGAATATGCTGCCTTTTCCCAGTACAAAATACAGGAATACCATATAAACCGCAACTTAATCTATCAAAGAGCATTTATTGATTCTAAACCTAATTTTCTGTAACATGTTAATTATGTACTTTCAAAAGCTGTTAATTAGGTCGGTCTTGTACGCATTGTAATATATTCCTTGTTTTCAGTTACTGATGTATTTTGCCTTTTGTTATATGGCATTCCACTTTACGTTTGATGCCAACAAATTTAACACATCCAAAAAATACTTTTAACTTTTCGACACATAGTACAGTCCCAATTACACAACCTAAACGGAATCGAAGGGCCGCCGTTTTATTGAAAATGTTGGGTAGTACGTACGTCTAATGGATATTACGAAATACAACTCGGTTTAAGGCGTTATTAAACTACGAAAAAATACAATGTGGTAAAAAATTAGAAAGCCATAAAAATTGCATATAACATAATGAAAATAAAAGCGTTATTTTTTAAAAAAATAGTAATGGCAACTTCCGCCAACAAATTGAAGCACAACTGCACTTGTTAGATCGAAGCCAGTAACGAAAGCACATCATAGCATATAAGTACATAAAATATAGAAGTAGAATGTTAGGGTAGTGTGATTTATTCCGCAATATGATATGATTGGTGATAATATGGAGCGTTGCGACAAGGCAAGTTGGATAAAACGGAATGTCGGAGAATGGGGCTTATACTGTAATCGTTTCGTTCGCCGTGCGCGATACAGTTAAGACATTGTTTCAGACTTCATGAAGTTTCATATCTTATGCGCACTCAGATCACTTGCAAATGCTGGTTGTTCAGAAACTGATGTATTCACTATTATTCGGTAAATGTTGTTTTAATTATTTGTTTCATCTTTATCTTTCATTTTATATTTGTATATGAGTTGTTTTCATATTATTTTTGCAATTAAACCTACGGCTGTTGACTCATCTCAAGCTAGAATATTAACTACACAGCGCAACAACCCAGAAGACGGAAATCTTCATACTCACCGCTGTGAGAACCTCAAGTCTTACATAGAATATTACTGCTGCTGTTGAAAAATTCTGTAACAAGTGGCACTATTTCTTACAACTGCCGTTAAATTAAAATACTGACTATGTAATCATTATCTCCTGTTGATTAATTTTGTCTACCTCATTTAAACCAGTACAACATTTGATTAGACCGCTGACAGGCAAAGAGACGTCACTAAATGCATAATGATAAAATACTCTGAATGCTGAATATATCAAGTAGAAGCGTTTGTCAGAATTCATGCACTCTGCCGCCGTACCCTGCTTAAAATTCATTGGCACATTAACATGCACTGTGCAACTGAATTGCCTGTCTCGTTTGCCGGCAGACTGTTAAATCGCAGCTACGTGATAACGTCTTTACTGATAAAACACAATCGGAATGCGAGGCCGTCGGATGTTCAGACACATTGTTTTATAAGGCAACGAACTGAACTTTCCATTCACACAGAAACAGAACGTAAATGTTATAATATATTGTACGTATATCATATATTTAATTATACACAGCATTTTGAAAGATAAACTTACAGGCAATCAAAAGTTAGTTGCGAGTGCGTGGGATGGATTTAAAAAGGTCAGGTGAAGGTATAGTGCCTACTTTTTTGTACATGGTAGTGGACTGCTTGAAACCATGAAGGAAGATACGTCTCATTACCAATTGGGAACTAGCCATATTTTTTTTAATACATACCCTGATCTGTGGAATAAATTTATTTCTCGAATAACAATTGGTTAATCGAGTATCGGAAGACTTTTGTTTGTACGTGGATCATTTAACGACGTTAACTACGCGATCTATGAGTATACTCGAAGAAACAGAAAACGCACCAAGACGTTATCTTATCATATCTTAAAGAATAGATTAGAGTACCAATTATCCTACCTGATTAGACGACATTCTTTCCGTTTCATCCGACGTGTCACGACGTAACGCTCCATTTTTCCAACAGTCAACTCATCACGTATCGGAATGACCATACTCCCCCATCACGCATCACTAATCGTATTAATTTGTTTCTTAGATATTTTTTCATTTGATGCCTTGTGTATTCTCTTCATAATTTAATACTAAGTTATAAATTGTGTTGATATTTACATTATTATTAGTTTTCCGTATGTTCTGACATTTTTTATTGTCTACTGTCGTTCAGTCCCGATTAGGTTGGACTTTCGGGGGCTCGAATTTACGACCTTAGCAGATTTAAAAACCGTGGGAAACATCGGTGTTGAGTTTCTTCTTAACAACAGGAAATGCTATGTGCGTGCCTGGAAGGAAATAATATCACAATGCGTGAACTGATTAAATGAAACGAAGCTGACACTTCCCGGCACCTGTCAGGAGTTGCACGACTCATCGCCAAGTGCTAGCAGAAACTGTTGCTGATGTTATACACACAAAAGTGCAACCGTACCAAAAATCGTGTGAAGGACTGATTATTGTGTGTACGGATATGATCCGATATACTGTTCCAACATCTTGTTTTCCTTTCGAATCCAATGTGAAATGTGGTCCTTCTAAAAGAGTCAGAGA